TCTCGCCAACGCCCTCTCTCGGGTCGCCCGGCGGCAGTGGTGCTGGGCCTGGGTTGAGGGGCCCCTGGGGCTGCAGCATCTCGCACCTTGCCAGGGACCCCAGGCCCTCTGCGCGTCTGCAGCGCCTGAGCCCCGGCGTCCCCCCTGCCGGGTGCAGGTGTGCAGGGACGCCCCGGGCCTCCCAGAACCGCGCCGAGGACGTGGAACCAGCATGAGGCCTGTTGAGCAGGGCCGCAGCCCCAGACTCGAGGTGCTTTGCCTAGGGGGCGGGGGGCAGCATGACCTGACAGGGCCGGTGTCGGGATGGCCCTGGGGGAGGCGGGGCCCAGTGAGCCTGGAGAGAAGCCGGCGCCTCAGCTGGAGACCAGGCCACGTGGCGTCCACCTGGGCTCTGCCTGCTGGGGCAACCTGGAGGTGAGGCTGCGGGGGGCTCAGTGCCAGCGCCTAGCGGGCTGCACCGGGCCCGAGAGAGGGCTCCTCCTCCCCGGGCGCCGGCACCTCGCCCACCCGCCCCAGGAAGCCCGCCTCGGGGCCGACCGTTGGGGTCATTGGGGTAGACAAGACCCTTTCCTGCCTTTCCCCCTGCGCGAGGCCTCACGCCTGTCCTCTGGCCCCACAGCCCCTGTGCCCACCCCCGCACCCCTTTCCTGCCAGGCACCCCGATTGGCTTCCAAGCCCAGCCTCGCCTGCTGGTGTTCTGGGCCGCTGCGTGCCAGCCCCGGGCTGTGGGGACACCACTGGGCTCCCCCACACCCCTCTTCTAGGTGGCCTCCCTGCCCTGGCCGGGCAGCAAGCTTTGCCGCTGTTATAACTGTCACAGCTGGGGCTTCGTTCCCAAGGGCTGGGGGGCAGGGGCTGTGCCTCAGTTTCCTCATCTGTCAAGCATCAACTGGGTTCCAGGCCTCCTTGCAGGAAGGTCCCCAGGGTCACACTGGCCGTAGCCCAGAGCTGGGTGCCGGCCACCTAGGCCCCCAAGCCCAGCCTATCTGGGCGGGTGGGCAGTCCCCGCCGCCTCCGCCCTGCCGTGGCCCAAGCTGCCCGCTGCCCGGCGGTGGGAAAGTCCGAACCTGTTGCTATTTTCGCTGTGTTATCGGGGCCTTATCTGCCGCTGTGTGCACCCAGACGCCAGGGTCTCTCTCCTGGCCGCCCAGCCCCACCCGCCCACCGGCTGCCCAGGGCCTGCGAGACGGGAGGCCAGGCCGCAGCGTCCTCCCCCGGTTCCTGCCCCTCAGCCCCTCACTCTGCCTGAGGGACTGACACGCTTGCCCCCAGATGCTTGGCTGTCGTAATACACGACTGTAATAACAAGGCAAGTCTGTGCCGGCACCTGCCGAGCCTGGCCGTGGCCCTTGACGTGCTGCTGCTGCCCACCCGGTCCCCAGTGTCAGTCACTGCTGGGCCTCTGCCTGGAATGCGTTTCCCTGGCCCCAGTTGTGGGCAGTCTCCCCCCGCCCCTCCCAGATCACCGCCCTGGTCGCCTCCTCCAGGAAGCCCTCTCGGACCACCCACCCCCGCCCCCAGCAATGGCTGAACTCGTGCTTTGACATTTGCCCCTCGTTGCTTGGGCAGAACATCTCGGTTGCTTGGGGTCTCCAAGTCCTGACGCAGAGCCTGGCCCTCAGAGACGCAGCAAAGTCGCGAGCGATCGAGCGAGAGTGGGACCATCGGAGGCCAGGGCACCCCTCCCGTCAGGAGGCCGAGACGGCGGTGGGGGCAGAGCCAGGCCCTGAGGCCAGAGGGCCTGCGGCCGTGGTCCGGCCCTGAGGGACCATCTTCCTGTTTCCTTCTCTGTAAATGGGAATAAAAGCACCTCCCGGGGGCCTGAACAAGGTGTCCGCAGGCAGCCCTGCGGCTGGCCAAGTCCAGGCGGCCGCGTGCCGGGCCCTGGCTCTGGCTCCTGCAGGTCTCCAGGGCCCCACAGGGCCAGGTCTGCGGCAGCCACTCCGCTTGCACAGCCGGGAGGCCGGGGCGAGGGAGCCTGGAGCTCTGCGGCCATCGGAGCCCGCCGGACAGGTCTGGCCGGGGCCACCGTCGTCCTTCTGTCACATCCTCGGCGGCCAGATCCGGCTTCTTTGAGTCTGTCTCTCCGAAGGACGCCGCCCCCACCGCGGCGGCCCCACGGAGCCGCGGGCCTGGGGCGGCCGGTCACCTCGCCGGCCCCGGACTCAGGGACTCGGGACCGTCCTCCTGCGAGTCTCCGTCTCCGCAATTCCGTGGACGGCGTGAAGAAAGGGAGTTGATGAAATTCCACTATCAGCGCCGAGCCAATATGCAAAATATCTCGCCCCCAATCAGGCAGCTATTATGTTTTCATTTCCATCCCGCGCCGCCTAATGAGCGGGAGCCGATGGCAGCGGGCGGCTGCTCTCCGCGATAACCGGGCTCTCGGCAGGGGCGGCGCGACCCATCGCGACCCATCGTGGGCCGAGGGACCCCACGCAGGGGCTCCAGGGAGCCCCACCCGCCGGTGGGCAGCGTGGCCGGTGGCCGCGGGGGTGCAGGCTGCCTCAGGCGGGGCGGACAGCGGCGGGCTGGGGGAGCCGGCCCGCGTGGCAGCCACTTTGCTCCCGAGGGCCCGGGGAGCTGCTGCCCTTGCTGGGTCTCACTTTCCCCATCTGCAAGTGTGTCCCCTGGGGCTACGGCCCGGGGTCCTCCCCGCACCCCTCCCCCGCCGTCCCCCCGCGCGCGGGCTGGGGCTCGGGGCCGTGCAGAGCTCAGGCTCCTACACAGGACGGGGTGCGGCCGGTGACGGGCGCGCCCCGGGGCTGGGGGGGCCGTGTGTCTTGAGTGCCGGCGGGACCCCGCTTCTGCCGTTTGTGGGCTCGCTGCGACCGCCGGCAGCTGTCTCGTGGTTATCAGCCGCGCTAATTGCGCTGGAACCGAATTAGCGGCATTAGAATAAATTGCCGCTGTGCCGGCCTCCCTCGCGCTCTCGTCACGCCTCTGTGCCGGGCGGCGCTTTGTTCCGGGAACCGGCCGCCGCGAGGGCCTCCCTGGGTGGCGCAGGCACCAAGGCGGCCGCCTCCCTGGGCCGGGCGTGTGGGGGCGGGCGAGCTGTGTGCCCGGCGAGCCTGGTCCCCACGCCACAGAGCGGGCTGCAGACCCTTCCCCAGAGCAGGCCAGCGGGGCCCTGAGTCCGGGCCCCCAGCTCTGAGTGTGCCCACAGGCAGGCTGGCCAGGAGGCCCCAGGCCTGGGTGCTCGCCCGCGGCAGTGCAGACCCGCCAGGCCGAGCCTCCGGGAGACGGCCACGGGCCGCGCCCTGCCCTGTGCGTGCAGAGGGAGGTCACTGAGGGTCAGGCCTCCCACCTGTCCCAGGGCACGAGTCGGACCGGTCTGGGGTGTGCCCAGCCGGCTGCCTGCCGTGTGGGCGCACTGGCAGAGCGGGAGGCTTAGCCTGGGGCTGCCTCTGTGTGGTCTGCGCGAGCGCGCCTGTAATTACGCGCCGAGGTGTGCGGGGGCGGGGCCGTGCCAGCCCGAGCGCCGCTGCTGGGCCTGGGACCTTCTTGGCTCCCTGGTGCCGCCAGGACGGGGACCCACTCTTCCCCCACCTCTGGGTCGCCCCCACCTTCCGCAGCCTCCTCTCCCACCTCGTCCTGCCCTGGGGCCTGTGCACAACTGCTCCCTCCAACCCGAGCGCTGAGCTGGCACCCCCCCCCCCCCCAGGAGTCACCGCAGGTCCCGGTGGGTCTCCGCCCGCTCCTGGCCCTTCCCACACAGCACAGCCTCACCCGCCCCTGCTTGCGTTGGGCCTTGGGCCGTCTGGAAGCCTCTGCAGAGCCAGGGCCAGACCCAGGCCCCGACCTCCTGAGCACCTGCCCTCAGCTGTCAGCAGGAGGCGGGCGGGCCTCTGCCTGCGGGAGCAAGGTCCTTCTGCATCCTTCTGGCACCTTCCACGTCCTGCCAGATGAAGTGTGAACAAATAGAAACCAGCTTTACCCCCATGGAATTCAGCTGGCTTGGCCTGGGCCAGCCCCGAGGCGTCAAAGGGCCCATGGCTGCCCCCCCCTTCTGCGTCCCCTGGAGGATCCTGGACGGGAGAGAGGCCGCGGGAAGGAGGGTGTGGGTCTCGGGGAGGCCTGAGTCTGTGTTTCTGGGGAGAAGGCAGGCAGAGGGAGGCATCCTCACGTTCCTGGAGGCCCACCTGCTGCCCGCCTACCCCGGGATGGGGCGCAGCCCTCGGAGCGGTGCATCCCCGGGGTGCTCTGGTGCCTCGGCCCCCGCCAGGGCCACCGAGCTGCTGGTCGGGCTCCTGAGACCACGCGGTGGAGCCCGGGTCTGGGCCTCACCTTGCTGTCCTCGGCAGTGAGGGGCTGGTGCTGTGGCCTTGGCAGCTGGGCCTGAGGGGGACCCCTCAGTCAGGACCCCCAAATGCACACCTGGGTGGCAGCCATCACCCCCGACGGCCGGGGGGATGGGCAGGGGCTTGCCCGGGGCTTGCTGTGAGCCACACTCAGCACCCGGCCGGCGCGGGCTGTCCGGCTCCGGGGCCTGCAGTCAGGCCAGCTGGACGCCCAGGCAGCCTCTCACGCGAGGTGAGAACCTCCAAGAACCTGCAAGGAGCAGAGCCCAGGCCCGCGGCGCCCTGGCCCCTGGAGTGGACACCTGTGGCAGCAGCCACTTAAGCCTTCAACAGGCTTTCTGGGTGCTCCCCATGCGCCCCGGACCTGAGTGTTGGCTTCCCGGGTAGAAGGGATGACTGGGCCATGGTCCTGCCTGGTCACCCCATCTCGGGAACCACGGTGCCCATCAGAAATGCTCGTGGGATGGGGTGGGAGGGATCCCGCTGGGGACAGCCAGGAGAGGGGGGTGCACGTTTCCCCGGCCGGGGGGACGGAAGGCAGTGGGACCCCTAGGACTGGCAATGGCTGTTGATGTGGGCTCGCCCTTCAAGCCTTGGGGGGGCTCACAGCCACCCCCTCATGGCCACTGACCCTGGGAGGCCTGTGGGTCAGGGGCAGCGCCCCTGCCCCTCACGAGTCCCCTCGGCCCGTGTCCTCAGGTTCCGTCGGCGACATGGAGGCCGGAGAAGAGGCCCAGGCCGGGGCCAGCCCCCTTTCGGAGCGGGAGTCTGCGGCATCGGAGGCCTCGGCCTCGGGGGAAGCTGAGCCCCCGCGTCCTTCCGGGCCAGGTGAGTCTGCAGCTAGGGGCCCCCGCCGGAGCCGCCCACGCCCTCCCGTGCCTCCACCCCTCTTCACGGAGCCCGTCCCTGGGGGCCAGCCCGGGGACACCTGCAGGCCGCGGCACCTGGTGGGAAGCCCCGCGCCTCAGGCACACTGGGGCCACACCCCCGCCTCAGGCCCCTCCGTGCCAGGAGTGGGGCCCTGCCCGGCGGCACCGGCCCCAGCACAGACCCTGGGAAGGCGCTTGGCCCAGAGAGGCCGGGCCACTGGCCCAGTTCACACAGCCTGAAACGGGGTGTCCCCCGCCGGCCGATGCCGCTCGAGTCCTGTCCCACCTCCCTCGCGCCCAGCCTGGCACCCGGCCCTCTCCCATCGGGCCCACCTCTCCCCAGCTGAGAGCAAGGCTGGCAGGACACGCCCTGGGAGGGGAGCTGCTGTGATCCTGGCACAGGTGGCCTCAGAGTGGGGGGCCTCTCGGGCTAGCTGTGCCCCAGAGCCCCCGAGAGGAGGGCTTCACAGGCAGGGGTACTGGGGTGCACGGCACCTGCCCTGCAATTCTCCAGAAGAGAAAGGCAGGGTGGAGGTTGTGGGGCCGGCTGTGAGCCGCTCTCCAGCCGCTGCTGCACCCGCTGGCCTGGCCCATCTGCTCCTTCCCCATGGGTCACAGCCCGGGACACCACGAACAAGACCCTCGCGGGGGAGTGCAGGGCGGGCGGGGGTGACTCGGGTACAGGTGAGGCCCCAGCAGGTGCAAAGGCCCTGAGGGGAAGGAAGAAGGGCTCTTAGGGAGAGGCTGGGGGGCAGCCCCTCCCCACGGAGGCCCCGCCCGGCACATCCCCATGCCAGGCCTGGTCCCCCAGAGGCCCTGCCGCTGGGGTCACGGGCCGTGCAGCAAGGAAGGCAGAGGGGCTGCAGGACCCCACCACCTGACCCTCAGTGCCCCAGGGGGCTGCCGGCCAGCAGGCACCCACTCGGGCCCCCTGCCCTCCCGGCCTCAGTCTCCGCAGCCGTGGCGCCGGCCCGGGGCGAGGGGGCTGTGCAGCCCTTATCTCCCCATCGCGGCACGGCTGTGGGTGCTGCACCAGTGGGGGCGCCGTCTGCCAAAGGGCAGGAGGCTGTGCTGGTTGACTTTGACCCAGTGGCTCCCGGGAGCCAGGCCCTTATCTGATCTGGGAGCCGGGCCGCGAAGGGGGCAGGAGCTGGAAAAAACAGCCGGGGTTGCACCTGGCACCGCGGGGCGATCGCACGGAGATGGGGGCGATAAGGGGGAGCAGTATCTGCCGGGGCGGGCCGGCGGCCCTGCATGGTGGCTGGGCGCAGATGCCAGCCCGCTGATTTATAGCCAAAAATAATAGGACTTTTATACCGTGTGATTGATTTATTTGATGTTAATCACAGCTCTTATCGCGGGTATTAATAACCCGCCGGGCGGTGACGTCACCCCGGGGGGAGTTTATGGGGGCCCATCGATCGGGGGCCGCGGTGGTTATCAGTCGGGCGGGAAGGCAAATATGCCCTTTGGGCTGGGATTGGGTGCGGGGCCCGCCGAGGGGCCCCAGCTGCCCAGCAGCAGCTCGGAGCCGGAGCCCCCACGTGTGCCGCTGGCCTGGGTGTGCCTGCCGGCCATCCTGCGCTGTAATTATTAACAGCAACTGGAAGAGCAATTATTACCGCTGCAATTAATGAGGGGGCGACGGGGTTTAAAGGGCAAGGAGAACCTGAGGTGTCTGGCCCCCCAGCTGGAGCCAGCCGGGGGGGACCTGGGGAGCTCGCCCACCTGGGCCTCGGTTTCCCTCCTGGCCACGGGGTGGGGTGCCCAGAGGCTGGCAGGCCTGATGGTGTTTTCCTCTTTCCAGACACGCCCCCCCCACCGCCATCCCCCACATCCCCAGAAGGCCCGGAGGAGGCAGAGGGGCCAGAGGCGAGGCGGGACGAGGAGGCCGGCGAGTCCTGGAGCGGCCCAGGTAAGAGCCACGGCCGTGTGGCCGGAGCAGCCCCTCCCCGGGGCCCGGGGCCAGCCTGCCGGGGTCCTGGATGTGGCCTGCAGGTGGCAGGTGGGTCGGCCGGCCTGGGTCGCTTCCAAAGTCCACCAGCCTGTGGGAACGGTGTCCGCTAGAGGCGCCCGGCCTGTGCCGACGCTGGGCTAGACCCGGCCTGGGGCAGGGCCCGGGGTGGGGCGGGTAGGTGCTCAGCCTATGTGGGCCAGAGAGGCCCACCCACCCGGTGGCCGGAGCAGCTCACAGTGCTCAGGGTGTCCGCCTGAGCCCCGTGCCAGTGGCAGCAACTGTGGGTGCAGGAAGGGCCGCCTGCCGGATTCTGCCCCTGCTGCCCAGAGAGGAGGGCGGGGCTGGAGGCGCGCCCAGGGCTCTGGGGCAGATCCTGCCTGTGCTGGGGGCGGGTAGGGTGCCGGGCCTCATGGAGCGCTGGGGCCTGGCCGCCATGTAAGCGGCCAGCATTGGCCAAGCACCAGATGTTCAGGTGCGCAGCTGGGGCAGCACGTCCTGTGGGCCTGGGGGCGTGACCGTGGCCGGTGGGGAGAAGCACGTGGCCAGGCCTCGCCTCCAGGGGCAGGGCCAAGATGGAAGGGGGTCAGGGGTGGTCTTCTGCCAGTCCAGTCCAGTCACTGTGTGGACGCCGTGGGTGCCGAGGCACCGGAGTCCATGGAGGGCCAGTGATGTCTGCCAGCCACAGGCCCACCCTGAGCAGGTGGCAGCTGTGGCTCCGGGAGGGGGCCAGCCCTGGCCCCCGCCAGATGGTGACCCCTCCTTGACCCGGCCTCCCCACCGGGCACACAGCATGGGGTGCTGCCCGGCGCCGGGACAGGCGTCCGGCACAGTGACATGCTGTCCTTCGAGAGGGGCTCAGCTTCTCCCCACCATGGGGCACCTGGCAAGGGGCAAGCCCAGAGCAGCGTCCACCAGCCTGACCCTGGGCAGCAGCACCAGGGACTGGGGGCCGGGGAAGGGCCCTCTGGTCAGGTGGTTGGCTCCCGGGCACACCCTGCTCCATCTCCCCTGCTCTGGGAGGGTGGCGGGCACCCACAGACACCGCGGCAGCCCCAATTCCAGGCTTCACCAGCGGAAACATTTGCTTTGGGTAGCGGCGAGAGGCAGGGACCCGTGTGTGCCTGCAGGACCTGATGGGGCGCTGGGCATGCAGGGGGCAGTGGCTGAGGCAGGAGCTGCTGGCCAGAGTGACCATGAGCACAGAGCTGAGCTCACACGCGGCAGCGCCCGGGGCCCTCACAGGCCGCCTGGGTGACAGCTTTGGGGCCGGGGCTTCGTGACACATGCAGCCCGCCTGCCCGCTCGTGGTGGCACGTCCCCTCGGCAGATGGAGGGCAGGCCACCGGACACAGGAGCCCGGCCTCGGGGAGGCCAGCATGGGCAGCCGCGGCCGTGGTCTGGGGCTGGGTTCACCCAGGGCTTCCGGCACGATCTGTACCCTGGAGGCCCAGGGGCTCCCTATCGGCCCCCACAGATAGGGATTTCTGGGCAGTGGGCAGCGATGGGCCGATAAGCGGCCATCAGCCCACGCTGCGGTGGCCGCCCCTATCAGACGCCGGGCAGGCCACGCTTATCACCCGCCGGGAGCCAGAGGGGCCCGGGGGCGCTTATCTCTCGGGGCCGCCCGTGCCAGCGACGGGGCAGCAGGGCTCCCTGGCCCCGGGCTTGGCCTCCGAGGCCGTGCCAGCTGGTGACCGTGGGCACGGGCTGCTCCCGCTGTGCGGCTGAGCGCCTCTCCTGCGACCCTCTCCCCTGAGTCTGCTCCTGGTCTTTGCTCTGCGACGCCCCACCCCCATGGGAAGCACCCCATCACTGAGGGACGCTGTCCTCAAGGGTGGAGCAGGCGAGCCTGGCTCTGCAGCTTCTGTGGGGGTGACTGCCTCAGCCTGGGCTGCCCCTCTGGCCCTGGGACGCCTCAGAGCCCAAACCCAGGCTCGGCTCCCCCACTGTGGCCCCTCGCCCCTGCGCGGGCTGCTGGCCAGGCCCAGGCTCCTGGCCCCCTCCTTGGTCAGAGCCTTCCCCAGCGGCCCACAAGCAGGGCCTCGCGGACCCCAGGGGCCCTACCCTGCAAAGCCGGGTGTGAAAAGGCTTTGGAAAGGCAAAGCGTGAGCCGAGGAATGAGGGGCTGAGCCTCCTTCCCAGCTCTCCTGCCCCCCAACCCTGTGTCTGGGGCTGGCGCTGGTGCCCCAGCTCTCGGTGTCGCTGCTCCAGGGGTGCCCCCAGCTCTCCGGCAGGACACAGGCCCCGAACCCCCGCCAGCTGGTGGCTCCACCCCATCCTGCTTCTCGCCCATCCTGCCTGCAGCCGGGGCTGCCCTGGGACAGGGCGTGGGCACGTGCGGGGCCAGGGAGACACCCCAGAGGCTGCCAGCGCCCAAGAGCCAGGTCTCCTGAGGTCGGGGCCGGGCCCAGGCTGGGGCTGATCCCGCTCTGAGCCAACGGGGTGCAGCTGCCGCCTCGGGGCAGGGTGAGCGGGGGCCAGTGTGCTGCCAGCGGAGTGGCGCTGCCGGGGCTCTGCGAGGTCACCACAGGCGTGTGAGGTGGGCGCCCCAGAGGCCCTGGGTGGTGAGCGCACCCCTGGCCTGAGTGGGCTGCACCCCTCAGTGAGACCCAGGACCAGGGTCGCCTGCCCCTCGTTCTCCCTTGAGCTGGCAGCCTCAAGCGCAGGGAGAGGGCCGGGCAGCAAGAAGGGGGCAGCGGCGTTTCCTCTTTGATGACCTCGTTCGGGGTGGGGGGACTGCAGGAGCGCAGACGGCTGAGGCCCTGAGCATGGTCCCAAGGGCGCCTGTCTGACCACTCCTGTCCCTGCTCACGGCTGCCCCAGCTCCCCCAGAGCCCCCTCCCCGCGCCCCCTCCTAACGTCCAGGAGATGCCAAGGGCCGGGCAGACATGCCAGTGCCCCTCCCCGCCAAGAGGGTTTGCGCTCGGACGCGGGGTCCTGGGCCGCCCACCTCCGTCCCGGGCCTCGGTGTGTCCTCGGCCGCCCGCGGGTCGTGAGGGAGCAGGGCAGGTGGTGTAGGGCCACGGGCACTGCCCCAGGTGAGCCCGGGGCCCAGGAGCGCCGTGTGATCAGGCCGGCCCTGCGGGGCTCCCCTCACTCTGCGCAGCCCTTCAGGCCCCGGACAGGGCCGGAGCCGGCTATGCGTGCAGAGAGAGCCACGCCCGTGGGCACCGCGCGGCTGGGACAGGGGTGCGGGAGGCCCTCGGGGTGGCCCCGCAGGCGTGGTTCGGGCGTGTGGTGGGCAGGGCAGTCGGGCTCATGGCCTGGGGTGTGACCTCAAGGTCCCCATCGCCCAAAAGTGTCTCAGGGCCCGGAACACCCAGTGAGCACCGTACCCCAGCTCCACCCCAGGCCTAGGGCAGAGGCAGGCCACGTCCCCAGGCCTGAGGTCAGCAGAGGGGCGGTAGCGGGGTGAGGGTGTGTGCAAAGGCCAAGCCGCGTGGGCCCGGCTGGAGCACGTGGAGGCCGAGGGCAGGGCGTGACGGGGCGGGCGGAGTGCTGGGCCCTGGGGTCCGGAGGGTCTAAGCAGGCGCGGTCAGCTGCCCGGGAACGCGGGTCGGCGAGCACGCACCCCTGGGTGGGGAGGCCTCTGTTGGCCTTTCCTGCCCGATCCCCTACTTGAAGGTTCCCGCCGCCGCCGCCGGAGACACCCTCGCCCAGGCGTGGGCGTGGGCACAGGACCCATCTCACCGCCGGAGCGCGTGTGCGGACCTCAAGGCTTGTTGTCGCGCGGCGGCCGAGGCAGGACAGCCTGTCCTGGTGGACAGGCCGGGGAGATGGGCCGATACACCGGCCGCGCGTGTGTGGGTGGGAAAATCATTTCAGCTATTTTGCCTTATCGCCGGCCTGGCACAGCGGCCCATGGGCCTATTTGTCTTGGATTAACAGGGGGAGGGGGCGAGGCAGGGTCAGCCTGAGGTCAGCTCCAGAAACCAGACCATGGCTGGGCCAGAGCTCCCTCTTCTGGGTGTCCCCAGAGGGACCCGGGGCCCTACTTCTAACACTAAGACACCCCTGCAGGCCTGGCGCTCTCCTGCCCCTACCCGCTGTGCAGACCCAGACAGCCAGACCCCACCCTGGAGAATGTCCCTCCTCCCAGTGTGGCAGAGGGCGGCCTGCCCGCTCAGAGGGGCCACACTGCTGGATGCAGGGGAGCCAGGGCCAACAGTTCGGGGCTGGGCAGGTCGTGCATTCACTCAACAACCCCTTGTGTGTTAAGTGCCCACCCGGAGCCAGAGTCCAGGTGCCCAGGGTGTGGGCATTTGGGCCGGGAGGCAGAGTAAGAGTAAAGAGGGGACCGTCCTAAACAGGGAGGCCAGCCCAGCTGCTGGTGGACCAGCCTGTCGTTGTCTTGGACGAGGAGTTCAGAGGTCACTGGCTTTGGCCAGCCTGGCCTGCGCTGCGCTGCCCACTGCCTTGGACTGGCCCCTTTCTCCCCGAAGCATCTGGGCCCCCAGGCCAGGGCAGGTCTGACCCCTGGCCCTGTGTCCACTGCCAGGCTCAGAACTGCCCTCCCTTCTGGGCACAGCCCTATGGGCAGGGCCCCCAGGCCAGAACTGAGGTGGGGCCTCGGGCTGTGGATCTCCGTCGCTGGCCTGGCCCACATGGGGCCACCTCTGGTACTGCCCCGTGGGCAGCAGGACCAAGCACCAGGCCACACACCACCCCAGAAAGGCCTGGTGCAGGGGCCTCAGCCCTGGGCACACCCCTTGCTGTGGTCAGCAGTTGGCCATCCCGAGGTGCTGAGCACCTGTGCCCACGGGACCCTGGCCAGAGGGAAGCTGCCCTGGCACTGCGGCCGATGGGCTTATTTGTCTTGTATTAACGGGGGAGGGGGCGATGCAGAGTCAGCCTCGATCAGGGGTGGGGGCGGCTGGTGTGCAGACAGCCAAGGCCCTAAGCATGGTCCCAAGGGTTCAGACTTTGGCCTTGGGCCCCTTGGGGTCTGCCCAGGGACG